GCTAATGGAGTTCAAAAGAATGAAAGATCACTTTACAAGGGAATCTGTTAAGAACTCATAGAAGAAATTACATCAACCTTGAAGGACAGCTAGAACGAAGGTAGGCAGAGATTGAGAGAGGATACAATAGTTAGGTATAATACCACACGATCAGAACATATGGCAGTGCAGAATGAACCTGCAGAGAAGGGCCCCACGTAACAGAACAGGCCTCTTGAACTAAGACAGGTATTTATTACAAGAGTCAAAGATGACTCTAAGGTGTTGGACTTTAGAGACTAACAGAATAGAGCAAACTCAAATTTTCAGTATGGCATTGGAAGCCCTTTACCAACTTCCTTCCTGTTCTCAACACAGAGGTTCCTCTTGTCCCTGTTTACCTTCTTCTCCCCCACACCCCAAGAAATTGAGCCACTCAAAAAGATGTAAGCATTCCAGTTCCCACACTTGTACTTATGCCTTTATGATGCCCACCCCTCCTGATATAGGTGCACCTATATCTTGAGTCCATAAGTTCCTTCATAAGATTTACCTCCATCAGTGAAGCCTTTAAGCACTGGTCCCATTTGATCGCTCAGTTCTTCTCATTTGTATGCTCTAGAGACATTTGTTCTCAAGCACTGGGCAATATATAAATATTATTGGCAAAGTCCCTCAGTGTCTGCTTCTCCTTCCTACTAAAAGTTCCCGGAGGAAAGCACTGAGTCACTGCATTTCTTGGGTTTACCCCCATTACTCACATCATGCACTGAACATGGTAGGTATTTCCTCAGTGCGATCTGTACTACTACCTAGTTTTAAGAAGAGGACAAAGGTCTATAAGAAAAAAAATACCTCCCCTCTTTAATTTGTTTCTCCTAAGTAGAACTCCTGAGAGAAGCCTTAGGGCCCTCACCTTTGGCCCCATGTGCATCTTCAGAGGCATTCTATAAAATGCCAGTTTATACTGTGTGCCCACAGAAACAAGAGAGTTAATTCTCTCCTTTTGAAATTGTGACTCCCACCCTCCTCGCCTTCCTCTAAATGTTTCCTTTTAAAGAAAGCCATGGTTCACTGCTACTGAAAATTAAAGACAACAGCATAAAGATCAAGGTCCAAGCTGGTGCCGGCGATGACAGAACATTAAAATCACCACTCAAATTTCTCTTTCCTTGAACACTGCCAAAGACTACTAATGGAAAGCCAATCCCCAGAATGCATGCTCATTTCAGATGTTCTTCACTTGCAGCTCTTGGTTCACAAACCATTTGGACTACAATGAACATTTCCCATGAAATGGGAAAGACATATCCCTTCAAAATTGTATGTGACTACCCCCCCAAGCCCACTCCTCACCTCCCCCTCCCATCGCAGCATGAAGTACCAAGAAAAAGCAGGAGGGTTTATTAGGCAAAGGTTAATTTGTAAGGTTTAGCAGAGGAGAAATTAATCACTCCCTCCTCCAAGCTATACTCTGGTCTCTCCAGCTATCTCAAGCTTGTTCTTCTCCCTCCTCTTAATTCCAGATTGTGTTTTGGCAATCAGATTGGACCCCAGAGTTCCTTCCATTTTCTGAATCCACATTTTCAAGACTCTCCTCCTTTCTGACTTCAGTTCCCAATTGCATGTTGGCGTGATGGCTCGGGGTGGTTTTCTTGACATCTGACTACAGTACTCTGGTGGTTCAGCCAGACAGGGATAAGCTCATTCCCCATACGAATGTGGAAAATGTTAAGGGTGTTTTCAGAGCATGTAAAGTATCTCTCATCAGCAACCACCACCGAAGGAGATGACATTTTGCCAACAGAAACCTGTGGTTCGCCCAAGTATATACACAATTGCTACATTATAACCCGAATCAAATGTTCTCACAAGACACTTAAAGAGAGAGAAAAGACCAGACATGAGGAAGGAGAGAACTTTAGGGGAGTTCTTTTCATTTTTACTTGCTAGTGTATTGGACCCTGAGAAGCATGAAATTAAAACTCTCAAAAAACAGCCTATATCAACTTGCTGTGGTGACTCAAAAGTTGTCGTTTCTCAACTTTGCTGAAACACTTGATTCATGTTGTTCTTGTTTAACCTAATTTGCATTGATTTAATCAGTGCTGGTATGCTTTAAATACATAATAAATTGGGATTCTGCAACTTAGATGACTTAGAATAGCTAAATTTCAATAAAGCTCATTTCAATCTGTTAATGTATACAGTTCTGCCAAGGGGTTTAAAAGCATAGAAAAGATGCAAACTTGCCACATTAGAGGTGGGAAAGGTTTAAAGATACCATCCAGATGAAATGATTTGCAGGATAATAATGTGAAAAGCAATATATATATCTTAATTACAACCTAGACATATCTTCTACATTTTGAGTAGCATACTTAGAAGAAAACTCACATATAAATGCAGTGAATTTAATTTTATTCTCTTTCCTCCTTGCCAACACTGAACTCTTTTCTGCCTCTCTGTACCAGCTCTACAAATCAAGTGACATCCAAAGTGGGACCTCTTCTTGCCCATTTGGCAGGCTCCATCACCACTTTGCCAAGCCGCCTGCATTAGGAGGATTTTCTTCCTAGCAGCCGTGGGGATTGGGTGGCTTAGACTCACAGTGCTTGCTGAATGGTTGGCCAATGTTTACTCCTGCCTGCCCCCGCCTCCCCCACCACCCTTTAGAGTTTATGGCTCAATCAGCCAGGCTGCTGTCAGGAATAATTGTGTTGGCAAGAGGGGAAAACACTTGATGGTGAAATTGTTTGTCTGTTAAAGTGTTCCGCAGCACCTTGCAGGTGCCAGGAGGAAAACTGCAGGTGCCCAGTCCAGAGTCAGGTAGGAGGCTAGAGTGACAGGCAACCATCAGGAATGGCAAGGGAAGAACACCACTTGGGTGTGGGACAGCAAAAAACCCACCTGTGGGGTAACAAGCTGTGAGACCTTGGGTAATGGCCTGATAACTCTGTGCCTCAGTCTCAGGTGCAAAATTAAGGGGCTTGATTTTCTAACGTCTCTTCTAGCTCCTAGATGACATGTGATGTATAGAATGTCTCGGATTTGTTTTCCTTCCAATTAAATAATATTTCTTGGAGATAAAGAACCAGGGCAGAGCAAAGATGGATAAAAAAATGTAATAATCCATGCCCCTGTTCATAGGACTTTTCCTGAAAAGTACCACCAGTCTTTGGTGACTTTGAACTCCCCTGGCTGGTGCCTTCGGCTTGGATGCTAAAGGCCAATCCAGTAACTTGTCCAAAGTCAATCCAGCCTGGGAGCTTTGGTAATCCACTGCCTTCTTATCAAAATGAGTACCACTACAGATAATGCCCACTTACTTTCAATTCCTGAGAGGCAGAGATGATAGGAATTCAAAGAGAGGAGCTGGAGATTCACATTTGATTCCCCCTACCACCTCCTTGGGCATCTCTGTCAAGAAGCTAGGCTTGCCCACACTCACTTCCAGAAGGGTTTCCCTCTGCCATCTCTGAGGATTTTTTTCTTTTTTTTTTTTTAAACAAATGACCAACAGGTTCCTGACAGGGTCTGCCATACAGACCCTCTCCAAGCTGGTTGGTTGGAACGAGAGAGAGAGAGCTCATTATAAGAACCCCATCTACAGATGATTGTGAATGGAAATAATCAGGCAAAGACTTCTTCTCTTCATGCTTAGAAGACACAGTTTAGCAACAGTCTCAAAGTTTAATTAGGGTTATGTGTATGGAGGGGGGTAGGCTTTGTTATGGTTTAAACTACCCTTTCTCTGCTTATTCTCTAGCATATTCTCCTAGAGGGTACCAAAGGGTGCTGTAATCACCATGTGCAGCATGTTGAGGTCAGCCCTCCTGGGTGTCATACAGCAGAATCTTTTTTTTTTTTTTTTAAGATTTTATTTATTTATTCATTTGAGAGAGCGAGAATGAGAAAGAGAGAGAGCACATGAGAGGGGGGAGGGTCAGAGAGAGAAGCAGACTCCCTGCTGAGCAGGGAGTCCGATGTGGGACTCCATGCCGGGACTCCAGGATCATGACCTGAGCCGAAGGCAGTCGCTTAACCAACTGAGCCACCTAGGCGCCCCTACAGCAGAATCTTTCTTTAATCCACTTGGGACCTTATAGATATCTAGGGGGAATGGTCAAGTCCCCGCAGGATCTCAGGCAAGACTCCCTGCACACAGACATACGTTTCTGACACACTGGTCTCATACCACCAAATCGGGATGGCTTTCCAAATCCACTGGGTTTAGAAACCATTTCCCCATCTACCACTAAAAAAGGGCTGGCTGACTGCAGAACTCCAGTGCCTGTAAGGAAAGGGAAAAAAATAAAAATCTTAGCCAAGCCCCCACAATCACTGCTTTACTCTATCTTCTCTCAAGTTGCTTTTCTAAAGCAAAGGACCAAATGTTGATTTCTCTACAGATTCCTACGTGTCTCTTACATGTAGACAGCTTTAAAGGGGGGAGGGGGGAACATCCCCAAAAGGAAAGGGGGAGAGAACAGAATCTTTCAGTTTCCTGCTTGGAAATATCTTGTCGTTGATGATGCTAGTCCACATCTCCATCCCCTCTCCCCCTTTTTTGAAATATGGACAAAAAAGCTGAAAGTGTTTTCCGTTTCATCAAAGAACATATATTACTTTAGTGGCTCGGTAAAATGTTGGTTTTATGCCCACCCCTTTTCAATCTGCCCATGTCTGAGGTGCTCCGGGAAGACGCACAATCGTGAGCAGCTTACGACACTCAGTGAGCAGTAGGTGCCTGTGCAAGCTCGAGCCGCACACTGCCTGGCGGAGGGAAGGAGCCCGGGCGCCGCTCCCCGCTCCCCGCGCCGCCGCCCGCGCCGCCCGCGCCGCCCGCCGCCCGCACCTCCCCGCAAAGCATGAGCGAACCCGCTCTCCGCAGCCGCCCCGGGCGCGAATGGCAGGCGGTCTCCGCGGAGTAAAAGGTGGCGCCGGTCAGTGGTCCTTTCCAATGACGGACATTAACCAGACTGTCAAATCCAGGGGAGTCGTGAGCCCCGAGTTTGGAGTTTTTTTCCCCACAACGTCACAGTCCGAACTGCAGAGGGAAAGGACAGCGGCAGGAAGGCGAAGCCCGGCGCCGGCACGTAGTTGGGAAACTTGCGGGTCCTAGAAGTCGCCTCCCCGCCTCGCCAGCCGCCCTTGCAGCCCAGAGCCGAGCAGCAAAGTGAGACATTGTGCGCCTGCCAGATCCGCCGGCCGCGGACCGGGGCTGCCTCGGAAACACAGAGGGGTCTTCTCTCGCCCTGCATATAATTAGCCTGCACACAAAGGGAGCAGCTGAATGGAGGTTGTCACTCTCTGGAAAAGGGTGGGTAAGACACTTTTTAATTAAATTCTTTCCCGAAGATTTTTTTTTTCCTCCCTTTTCTTTGCTGCAGCATCTAACATGGACCAAATCACCATCTCTTTGATCTTTCCGTGGCTGTGAACTTTCCATGCTGCCCAGCTTTCTGCATGCTTAGAGGTGAACGTGTGGCTTTGGGGAGGGGGGGTCCTTCTTTATTTCAATATATTTATTTGATTTTGCCCTTTTCTCCCCCTCCCTTGGAATAAAATATGATGTAGATTTCTGACCGAGCGCTTCCAATGGACATTCTCCAGCCTCTCTGGAAAGATTCTCGCTAATGGATTTCCTGCTGCTCGGTCTCTGTCTATACTGGCTGCTGAGGAGGCCCTCGGGGGTGGTCTTGTGTCTGCTGGGGGCCTGCTTTCAGATGCTGCCCGCCGCCCCCAGCGGGTGCCCGCAGCTGTGCCGGTGCGAGGGGCGGCTGCTGTACTGCGAGGCGCTCAACCTCACCGAGGCGCCCCACAACCTGTCCGGCCTGCTGGGCTTGTCCCTGCGCTACAACAGCCTCTCGGAGCTGCGCGCCGGCCAGTTCACGGGGTTAATGCAGCTCACGTGGCTCTATCTGGATCACAATCACATCTGCTCCGTGCAGGGGGACGCCTTTCAGAAACTGCGCCGAGTTAAGGAACTCACACTGAGTTCCAACCAGATCACCCAACTGGCCAACACCACCTTCCGGCCCATGCCCAACCTGCGCAGCGTGGACCTCTCGTACAACAAGCTGCAGGCGCTGGCGCCCGACCTCTTCCATGGGCTGCGTAAGCTCACCACGCTGCACATGCGGTCCAACGCTATCCAGTTCGTGCCGGTGCGCATCTTCCAGGACTGCCGCAGCCTCAAGTTTCTTGACATCGGATACAATCAGCTCAAGAGTCTGGCGCGCAACTCTTTCGCCGGCTTGTTCAAGCTCACAGAGCTGCACCTGGAGCACAACGACTTGGTCAAGGTGAACTTCGCCCACTTCCCGCGCCTCATCTCCCTGCACTCTCTCTGCCTGAAGAGGAACAAGGTGGCCATTGTGGTTAGCTCGCTAGACTGGGTTTGGAACCTGGAGAAAATGGACCTGTCGGGCAACGAGATCGAGTACATGGAGCCCCATGTGTTCGAGACCGTGCCGCACCTACAGTCTCTGCAGCTGGACTCCAACCGCCTCTCCTACATCGAGCCCCGGATCCTCAACTCCTGGAAATCGCTGACAAGCATCACCCTGGCCGGGAACCTATGGGACTGTGGGCGCAACGTGTGCGCCCTGGCCTCATGGCTCAGCAGCTTCCAGGGGCGCTACGATGGCAACTTGCAGTGCGCCAGCCCGGAGTACGCGCAGGGCGAGGACGTCCTAGACGCTGTGTACGCCTTCCACCTGTGCGAGGATGGGGCCGAGCCCACCAGCGGCCACCTGCTCTCAGCAGTCACCAACCACAGTGACCTGGGGCTCCCGGCCAGCCCGGCCACCACGCTCGCTGACGGCAGGGAGGGGCAGCTCGACGGCACGCACGAGCCGGCTACTGTGGCGCTCCCGGGCGGCGAGCACGCCGAGAACGCCGTGCAGATCCACAAGGTGGTCACAGGCACCATGGCCCTCATCTTCTCCTTCCTCATTGTGGTCCTGGTGCTCTATGTCTCCTGGAAGTGTTTCCCAGCCAGCCTCAGGCAGCTCAGACAGTGCTTTGTCACGCAGCGCAGGAAGCAAAAGCAGAAACAGACCATGCATCAGATGGCTGCCATGTCTGCCCAGGAATACTACGTTGATTACAAACCCAACCACATTGAAGGAGCCCTGGTGATCATCAATGAGTATGGATCCTGTACCTGCCACCAGCAGCCCGCAAGGGAGTGCGAGGTGTGATTGTCCCAGTCGCTCTCAACCCGTGCGCTACCAAATACGCCTGGGCCCCTGGGGCTACGGCCAGCGCCAGGCTGGGGTCTCTCCTTGTCTGTGCTCTGAGATGCTCCTTGACTGAAACTGTACGGGGATATCTCCCAGAGACTTGACATTTTAGCTTTATTGTGTCTTAAAAACAAAAACGAAATAAAACACAACAAAAACCCCACCCCACAACCTTCAGGACAGTCTATCTTAAATTTCATATGAGAACTCCTTCCTTCCTTTGAAGATCTGTCCATATTCAGGAATCTGAGAGTGTAAAAAGGTACCAATCATTGATTTTTTTTTTTTTTTGTAAACTAAAATGTTTAAAATAAAATAGCATTTACAGTTTTTACAGACTGGTGTAACCTAAATGAACTGTTACCTGTGTTAAAAGAGAAGCAACAGTTAAAATGTCCTTCGTGTGTGTGTGTGTGTGTGTGTGTGTGTGTGTCTGTGTGTGTGTTGGGGAGAGGGGAGAAGGTGCAGTGGCCAGAGAGAAAATCCAGAAATTCAGGAGCATAGCAGTTAGACTCAATTTGAAATATTAAGAAGGACAAATAAAGCTCCTCATGACTAATGACTGGGGGGAAAAGCAAGATCTTTCATATTATTTTTAGGGGAGTGCAATACAATCACTGGAACGCAAGTGAAAGGGAACTGAGGACTGAGCCTCACTGCCCAGCCCTGAAGGCAGAGATCATTACAAATAGCTTTTAAAAAGGCAGTGTCAGACTGCCTGTGTTTGTCCTGTGAACAAGAAACATCTTTGCACTTAATACAACCATCTTTCAAATCAATTCAAAATCTCACCCCCAAATGCCACTAGCTCCTAATTCTCCTATGCCTTTGATTCACCAGAGTGGTAGCATTTGTGCCCTTTGCCGAACTCTCCCAAGTGAAAGAGAGACCCTCAGCTCCTGTTCACTACAATCTGACTGAGGGGAAGAAGGGGAATAAGGCAGAATACAAGTGTTGGCAGATGAAAGCTGTACTTCCCCGGAGCACGTTGCTAAGACTGCAGCAAGCTTGGGCTCTGGGCAGTGACAGCACACTCCTAGTTACTTTGGGGAAGAGTGAGAAAAATCCTACCTCAGGTTGAATGCTTTAGTGGGTAATGACTGATAGCAGGAGACTTTAGGGGCAGACTTGATACAGAAGTGATGGGGGTGGGGTGGGACAGAGGAAGATCACGATGTGTTCCTGTGTTCAAGTATTACAGAGATGGGAATAATTTGTTAGCCCGGAACAGAAAAGCTGCCTCTTTTCAGATTGCCCTTTTGTATAATGTCTGTGTTCCCTGTGTTGTTTTATTTTTTTCTGTATTGGGATCAATGATTGCTTCTTCCCACCCTTCACAGGTTTTCCCGTCCATCATTGAGATTTAGGTTGTTTACTGAACTAAACTAAAGAGTAGTAGCAGTTGGTGGGTGCGGGGCAGGGAAGCAGGGAGGAGTGCTGTGTGTTGGATGAGAGGGGTCGTTCACTCGCTAACACTTTAAGCAAATATATGATGGAAATAAATGGAGATGGAGAGCAGATGGTGAATACTGAACCAATACCCATGCCCAGAAGTCTTTTTCAAACTCAGGTGCTTACCCTTCTGAAAGATTCTACAGCCCGACATGTTTCTTTCTTTTTCTTTTTCCTTCCTTCTTTTCTTTT